CAGACAGAGATCACTTCGTTCTGAGCTTCTCACCTGAAAAGTCAGATACCAAAGCACTTGCTTTGGTTTCCAAGTCCTGGGGATATTTGAGAATTTCCTGGTTCCTCCATCCTTTCCCAGCCCAGAGAGTTTCCTAAGCAGCCTCATTAATACACAGCCTCCTGGATCTGCCCAAGTGCAGTCTTCAGACTGTTCTCCCCACAGCCTCAGAGATCCCCTTCTTCCAACTGAGCACCTTCTGCTACCTGCTCTGGCCTCCCACACATGGCCATGCAGCTGGGATCCTCTTCTCTGGTGGCTCAATGCCTACCCCTGCTCCTGTTACAACCCTAGCATCTGGGAAACTGCCATGAAACCCATACCCTCCTGCAATTGCCATTGCAACCATTGCTCCAAGGATGCTTCAATGCCAAACACAGAGCTGGGGGCACCGCCACAGTAACCCTTTCCACTTGCACAGTCCTGATTCCTTCTTGTAACTAGCTGAGAGGAATGTGACCCATGGAGACCTGACTTGAGCCTCCAGGGGCTGTCCCAGCTGTGCACACAGCCTGCTGCAAAGTGCTGGGCAAAACCACCTCCCCTGTCCTCTGCCAGTTCCCAAGCAGGCTGCATATATCACTGGATAGACGACAAAGCGTTCACTTTCCCAAATGCACTCTCAGGTGCCGTCTCAGCAGCACCTGCTACTTTCCACCTCAACTGAGCCAACTGGGCCAGGCCAAGCCAGGCCAGGTGCAGGATTACCTGTGTCTGAGCATGGAAGAAAAGGGCGCAGCAGAGTGGTAGGGAGGGGTTGCCGGTCATTTGACAATGTGCTGCTCTAGTGCTTCAGCCTGGGACAGGCACAGAGGAAATTCAGGCCTTGCCAGTGACAGGGGCCGATGCGCCAATCAGTGGCCAACCCTGTCTCTTCCTGCTTTGGACAAGGCCCTCGTTTCACGATATGGTTTCTTTTTATTCTTCTTTTTTCTTTAAAAAAAAATTGTTCCTAAGTAGAAAACATCTGTGATTGCAAGTCAGTCTTTTTGGCTTTTTTTTTTTTTGTTTCGTTTTCAAATGACTTCTCTCGAGGCATCCTGCACGGGCGGCTTCTCTGCACAAGACCCTTTTCACCCCACTCTCGCCTCCCCTCAATGCCCCCGCCCGCCCCAGAGGCCTCTAGTCCTTGACCAACTTGTATACGTGGTGCTGGGCGCCGTGTTCACTGGTGGATACCTCAAACACAAAGGCTATGCAGAGCAAGGTCTCCTGGGTATCCCTGTTCGTAACAACCTGAAGCGGGGAGGAGAAAGAGCTCGGTTAGGAGGGGAAGCCATTCCAGAGAGGCCTTTCTTGTTTGTCAAGGCACAGGTTTTCCACATGGGTGATATCTCTTCTTTACAGGTGTGTACACACATGCATGGACTGAGACTGCTGGCTCCCCCGCTCTACACCTACTTTCGCCACTGACAGCTGAGCTGCTTGAACCTTGAAACTGCAAATGTTCAAAATTTGTTTTCATTCAGAAACGGAAGAAAAACAAAAATGCTTGCAAACAAATTGCAAGGAAATCCAAAATGACATTTCCTCTTTTGGGAGAAAAATCAAGAATTGGATTTCAACAGGGTTTGGGGTTTTTTGTTTTTTTTTTCATGGGCTTTTCCATTATGTTTAGCATTTTCACATTATGCAGCACTATTCCTGAGCTGTCATGAAATAATACGATTATCAAGTTAAATGCAACACTGGTAACGAAAGGCTATGAAATAAATAATGGACAAATAAACCTGAAAAATCCAAGTAAAAGACATGTTTACATGAACATTTTTACTTGGAAAAAGTTTGAAAATTTTCTGAAATGAAATGTTGCTATTTTCTAAACAAGATTTTATGTCAATTTTCTGCCAAAAAATCCATAAAAAGAAGCCAATAAGGATTCATAAAAATTTCATCTGGATGGTATTTTCTAGACTGAAAACTCTTTCAAATAAGATTTTTTTTCAGCCAGATCTAGCGAAAAATTCCATCATTCTATCTTGGTAGCATTTAATACTCACTTTTCAACGATGGAAATAACTATATCGTGGGCAGGTCAGGCAAGTAACTTATACCATGTGCATATAAGTATACATATATATGTACATTCATTATTAAATGGCTGTGCATGAAATGTGTAAACTAGGGGTGGCCAACATGCAGCATATATGCCACAAGTGGCACTGGCAGCCTGTGTAAGTGGCACACGGCAAATCAGACAGAGAGCAGAAAGCAGAGGAGCAGGTCAGGGTAACGCTCAGGGAGTGTGCAGGGCATACCCTGTGGCACACCTGCCAAAAAGGTTGGCCCTCACTGATGTGGACATGCATACAGAAGTCTATTCTACAGATTATATTAGGCACATGAATGCACTCTAGGAATGAA